AATCATGAGATTTCCCCCATGATCACCTGATAATTAGTGGGAACATGTCGGCATAAAATGAAAATGCAGGTTTCTTGAACTCTCAAACCAGGCTCATTCCCAGTTATCGACACGTATGAGGTACATTTGAAAGGACCAGCCTGCTCAAAACCAGAGCTTCAGGGCCCGTCTTACACCTGCACATGCTCCTAACCCGCACAGGGGCATCCTGACCCCTCCAGTTCTTGGTATCATCAGGAATGAGGGGACCAACATCGATCGTGCAGCGTAACCCACCTATACCTGTTTCTGACTCGCTGCTGAGGCTAATTCCTTAGCCTCGTTTGACCAAGGTCTGGGTGTGCCACAACTCGCCCTTCGAGGCACAACAGAGGAAAAGGTCCTGAGGGCTCAGGAGTACGTGGATCCGCAGACGGCTTCAAGGAGCAGACCGACCCCCTGCCAGCCTAGCCTACTTGGGCTGTTAGAGGAGCGCTAGGGTGTATGTCTGTACATTTTATTTAAACTACTTTTTAGGCCCTGGCCGGTTTGGCTCAGCGGTTAGAGCGTCGGCCTGCGGTCCTGAGAGACCCGGGTTCGGTTCCCGCTAAGGGCACGTACCTCGGTTGCAGTTTGTCCCCGGCCCTGGTCGGTTGTGCGGGTGGCAGCCACTCGATGTGTCCCTTCACATCGATGTATCTCTCTCTCTCTCTGTTCCTCTCTCTCCCTCCCACTCTACCTGAACAAAAAATGGGAGAATGTCCTCGGGTGAGGATTAAATAAATAAATAAATAAATAAATAAATAAATAAATAAACTACTTTTTAGTCTCTTTGGGTAATAAGGCTTCACCCTAAATACTATATATATAATCTTGAAGTTAGAAGAGAAACTGATGGATAATATTTTTAAATAGCCAATTCACTTACCTCTTCTATTCTCAGTCTAGGATGCAAATTAACAGGGCCCACAGCTGAGCATGAACCACATATGTGACCCAAGAACATTACCAGGGAGGAACCTTCATTCTTGGTGCTAACGAGTAAAGCTGTCCTTGTATCAGCTTAAAAGTCATATTCATCCCATCTGTTCCAAACTGGCAAGAAAAATAGTAACAATAGCTCAAATGATCACTTCATAGGCAACCAAAACTACAGACAGAATGCCTGGCTGCACTTTCACAGTGGTAATTCTTACCAAATGTACCACCAAAGAAAAAAATACCAAGACAACTTCATTTTCTAACTGAGGTGCACAATTTTTGCGGTCTTATCTAGTGCTGAGTCTATAATTTCTAAATATTTTATTAGAATAAAAGAGGAATAATATCTATAAAAAATAAGAACATTCTTTTAAAATGGAAAATGTTTGCTCTTGATGGAAAATACACAACCTAGAATACTCTGCATGTGAGTGCACACACACACACACACACACACACAAATGTATGCACGTGTATAAACACCCAGCTTAATCCCAGTCACAGCCAAAAGATGGCTACAAATCTTTGCAAACTGTTTTCCAACATTATTATGTTTGCTCTGGACACATGAGTATTTTATCGGTGTAAGGAAGGTGACCAGTGAGTGAGAGATACCAATTCCAAGTTTCCATGAAAACCTGAGTTTGAAGAAACTAGGTCAAACTGACCCTTGCTTGTTCAAACAAGTATAAAACCTAATGGAATCACTGAAACAATTGCAAAAGAGGGAACACAAAGGTAAGTGGCTCTCAAAGGAAGTATTCCAGTGTTCTCGACTGGTATGCACTCAACAACTCACAATGAGGACAGCTTGCCTCTCAAAAGGGCCCTAAAAATACCAACCAGCCCCCTCCTAACCTCCACCACAACACTCTCTAACCATCCTGAAGTTAAAGGGGAAAGATCACAAAGTTCTAGAGGACAAAAGCAAGTGAGAGAACTCAATGAGGATCTAAGTTTCTTATTGACTGCCAAATTAACTCTACAGTCAACGATAATGTGTCTTGAGCACATTGATCCTTGGGATACAGGATGGAGAAGACAGACAAGACCTTGGTCCTCACAGAACTATTTACTGGGGGAGATATACAGCCACTAGTAATGGAACAGCACACAGGCTAATCACAGGCTGTGAAGCCTGCACTCAGGGCTGGGACATGGTGAGTGGCAGGGGCCACTGTAATCAGGGTGGTCAGGGAAGATCTCTTCCAGGAAGTGACTGTTGAGCTGAGACCCAGAAGAGAAGAAGTCATCCAAGCAAACAACTAGAGGAAGAAGGTCCCAGGTTTATGTAAGACAGTCTGGCTGTAGTAGAGTCAGAAAGTGCTCCTGTGGGTAATGTGGGCACCAAGGGGAGAAGGGCTGGAACTCTGACCAGCCAAGCCTGAGTCTATGAGAATACAGATTCAGTGCCCACTGGCTTCTCTCATGGGGCACGAACACACACACACACACACACACCATCCATTGGTGCATTCTCTAAACTCAGGAATGGTGGGGGTGGGAGGAAACAGATGAAGTATCCACAAAGGGGTAGGGGGTGGTAAAGCCACCCTTTGGAGTGTGTTCAGGACAGAAAAACACACTCAGGAAAGTTAAGTGGTTTGCACAGAGTTATACAGCCTTCGGGGGATGAGCTAGGACTCCAACTAGGCGTGTGTGACTGACAAGTCCGGTTTCTTTCATTATGTCACAGGATGTTTTCATTTTTTAACATAACAAAAGCATTTGGCAAGGTTATAATGATATGCTATTAAGATTCACGTGGACTGAGGATTTTTCAGTTATGATATTGACTCAAATGATCTATTGATATTATCAGAAAGTTTTCCCTTGCACAATTTCCATTAATTAACTTACCTTCTTTATAAATTGATGTTAATTAACATTTCAAAACAATCTCTACATGACCAACAGGCTCATAACTGATGGTAATACAAAATACAGAAGCTCAAATGTCCAACAGGGTTATAACTGATGGTGATATAGAAAAATGACAGAATGCTTCTTAGCAATTTTAAGTGGTAGGTATTGTGGACTCCTCGTATGTGAAAACAATATTTGCTGACATTACTTAACTAACTTAATGTTAAACAGAAAAAGCAGAGCACAACAAAGGATGTACAAACTGGTTACAACTTCGTGACTACGTACACATACTTACCAACAAAGAACAGAAATACTGTTTCAAAATGTAATAAAGGTACATTTTTATTAAGGTCATTTTCATTTAACATTGTTTGAGTTCATATAATAAATTTATAGGGCATCTTTCCAAAAGGAAACAATGTTAAAGAAAATGTCTTAAACGGAGGGCTTTTGTAATATCTGTCAAGAACATGTACTCATGGTCTCATCACCATTTGAAATTTTCAAAGTATAAATAGCATTTGAGATTTTCTGATTTTGATTTCATTTAAATACCCGAGGTTTCTATTACTGAACATTTCAATACTGACTCAATGGGAAAAGATGACTCCTATAACCAAATATTAGTACAAACATTGAACACCATCCAAAATTCTTCTGCACAGATTGTAAACCTAGAGAGTTGTTGCAAAACAAGCCTCTGGCACTTGTAACATCTGCCATAGAACTCATCCAAAGCCTCATTTTCTTCCATCCTGCTGATATATTGAAATGCTACATCAGTAATTTACTCCTTCCAGAAATATTATCATAGTTTCACTAAATGCAATAATTGATGGAGTGGTAAAATGGTGCCTAAATTGTCTTGTGGGCCTGAAAACTTCAATTTTTCAAGACCATCAACACAATAGTGGAATCTATTTTCTCTTCTTTTTTTTTTAGATTTAAAATTTTTTTTTTATTGATTGATTTGAAGAGAAGAGAAAAAAAGAGAGGGCGAGAGGGAGACAGAAAGAGAGAGAGAGAGATCCGCTGTTCCACTTATTTATGTATTCATTGACTCTTGCATGCGCCCTGGCCGGGGATTACACCCACAGTTTTGGAGTATCGGAACAGGGCTCAAATCAACTAAGGCTCCAGCGAGGGCAGAATCCACTTTTATGACTGCATACTACAATCTGCTTCTTCTCCTCATAGTATTTAAGAATTTAACTAGTTTTGTATTTATTACCCATCACCTAGCAAACACTGGTCTGTTCAAGATAAACTGCTAAGTATATACATAAAATGGTGAGAAAATTATTTAACCCTATTTCAAAATAGATAGGAGAAAAATAAAAAATTAAATGTTATATAGAAAAAAAAATTTTAAGTATACTTCAAATCGAATTTCCTAGACCCTCTACTTCATCCTTGAACATTGGCAACTTCATTGTTAATAGTCTATTTTTTATCGTATTCCCTGAGTCAGAAGGACATGGCAAATAAAAACAACGGATGAACACTGGAAATGTACTATATGTCACTGAATTGTACACTTTAAAAGGATTAATTTTATATTACCTGAATTTAACCTCAGTAATGAAAAAAGTTTACAGTTACTAATATATGTCTAAAATTCCATAAAAATATACTATTTGTATGATAAAGAGAGAATATAGAAAATCTAAGCAACAAAATTCTGAGGTAGTCCAACCAAAGCATTATAACAATAAAAATCCATGTATTCATGATTAATATTGAGATTTGCTTCAAAAGAATATGGAGGAAAATCGAATATGAGGGTGGGGGGAATGGGTGAACAAGGTTGGCTATGAGTTAATACGTAATTATTGAAGCTCCGTGGTTGGCACAGGGAGTTTATTACATTATTCCCTCCATATGTGGATCTTTTAAAAAATATCCGAAGTCAACATTTTTTTTTAAATTAGGTCTATTTCTGAAACAAGAAACATATTTAGCACTGGGTAGATAAGAAACTTATAATCAGAAAACTGGCAAAATTTTCATCTTACTTTATTGTTATGAAACATCTGAGTTCTAATATTGTCCATTGTTAACTTCTTTTATAATGGGCAAGGAAGCTTTAGGATTTCTTTGATGGTTTATTTAACAGGCTTCAGAAATAGCACATTTTACAAGGGGTAAAAGTATATAAGAACAGGACATACCAGGAGTATCATAGGCCGTTTCCAAGTTGTTAATCCTATGATTCCAGAGAGTATCACCTACAATGATAAACAATATCATAAATCTAGAAAAGGGACCAATTCCAACACACTAATCCCCAGTCTCTAAAGTATGTATTTTTTTTTTAATGCTGACATTTCAAAGCCTTCTAACTCAAATATTTAATATTCCTGCTGATTACATGAGCCCTGGTAGACTGCTTTGGACTATGCTTCATGTCCAAGGTCCCAAAGCTTTTTTACTGACTATAAATGTTTTTTCTTATGGTCAATTAAGAACACACAAACAAAAATTAGCCTATCCTCTGGTGAGTGAAGGAATCAGTATTTCTGACCCATGCTCCCTGCTCCCAGTACCGCCTAATCTGTTGCCAGAGTCAGCCTCATAAGATGCACATCTCACCGAAATCCTCCCTTCATCAGGTGGGTACCCATCTTTACAGAATAAGTAAACTCCTCTAAATAGTAAACAATCTTCCGGATCTTCCCCTGCCTACTTCTCAAACCGGGTCGCCACGGACCTCTGCCCCTCCTACCACACACCTTCCATCCAGGCACATCTATCAGACCTCGCACTGGCCTGGCTCTAGACATTCTGGAGCTCTGTGCTTCTCCTTGCTGCAGGGTCCTCTCCTCCCAACTCCCCTCTGAGCTTTCTGAGAACTCCTATGCATCCTGCAGGACCCCAACTAGCAGTTACTTCCTCTGAGAAGTTATCACTAATCCTACCCCCCCACACACATTCCTGGAAGCCCTCTGCATAAAAAATTCCCCCCCCCAAAAAAAACCTATGTATTGTATCTGTGTTTTCCCACTAACTGAATTTCTATCTTGTCTCTCTGAATCCACAACTCCTAGCACAGTGCCTGACATGTGACCGGGAAGGGGGAGGGACTACAGTGAGAAAGATCTCATGCTACAAAATGACACTTCAATAAACAACAAACTAAAATCCTCGGTAAAGAGGAGCCAGCATTTTGCAAAAATGTAGTCTGGACACCAACATCAGCTCTTTGAATAACACAGTTCATTAAGTAATTTTCCATTCATTGACTCACAGTAAATTAGTCCACAACAGAGGTCAAGTCTACCCACTAGTATCAAGGACCCAAAACCACATATGGGCAGATAAGCGACAATTTCTTCATATCCCATCTATTTTCAAACCTACTATCAGCTGTCTGTCCACTAAGCCCTTTATCCTTGCACTTACCCTAAATTCAGTAGGATATTTCCTCACTCTAAAGGATTTCTACCCGGAGACACGCAGGGTGCTGTGCAGCTTGCCTGGAGGGTGTGGGCTGCATCTGCTCTACACATTGAGACTTGGTATCCATGAGACCTTGGGGTCCAGGTTTCCCATTTGGCTTCTAAATGACTATGTGACCTTGGCCAAGTCATTTTACTTTTCTGGTCCTCACTCTCGTTTCCTTAGAAATATGGTGAGTAGGGGAAACCATCTCTGGATCTCTTCTAACTCAAAAGGTTTACCCCACTGTGATGACAGTGATTCCTCAGGAACTGCACTGGCTGCACCCTGCAGACTGCAGTTGGGCACATATGCTTGCATGTGTGTTGCATGGGCATGTGGGCATGTGTGAATCCCTGTGTGCATGCATGCATGTGTGTGCACCCACATGTATACGTGCACCCACTTGCATACGTGCTCCCTGCCTGCCTGCCCTGCTGCTTACTGGACTTTGCTGAGAACATGCAACTATTTTTGTGAGAACATAAGTGAAAATAGGACTGCTCTTGAGAGAAACACAAACTGCCCACCTCACTGAAATATAAATATGACTTGAATGATCAGCTAGTGTTTGATATTTATGCCACTGATCTCCATTAATACAGAACCCTGTGGTTCAGCTTTTTGAAACATATTTTTTCCATTAAACATTAAAATAGTATTATCAGCGCTGGCCAGTGTGGCCCAGTAGTTAGAGTGTCAGCCCTCACACCAAAGGATTATGGGTTTGATTCCTGGTCAAGGGCACATACCTGGGTTGCAGGTTCAATCCCTGGCCCCGATGGGGGCATGTGTGGGAGACAACCAATCAATGTGGCTCTCTCACATCAATGTTTCTCTCTCTCTTCCCCCCATGCCTCTCTTCCAATCTCTCTAAAAATTAATAGAAAAGATATCCTCAGGTGAGGATTAACAAAAAACAAAAACAAAATAGTATTATCAAAGTGAGATGTCCAGCCTAGCCCATAAAAGCCCATAAAAATAGTGGTATGTCTAAACTATACTTCCTACCCCCACCAACCACATCATCCAATTTTCCTGCACATTAACAATTTAGCATGTTTACATATTTTACATGTGTACATAATTTTTCTCTAAATTTTTAACTAGACACACATGGCATGTGAATATATACAAATGCACAGGGGTGTAATTGTTATCCCCCAAAAAATAGATCATGAAACTTTCTGTGTCTTCTTTTTCTCTCTCAATAAATACTTTATGGAAAGTTCTTCATGTTCACAGGAATAGCTCTTTCATTTTCATTTAATGACTACATAATATTCCTTTGTATGGCTGCACCTAATGTATTCGATCATTTCCATAAGCATGGTAGCTACTCCAGCGTTTTGTTCTCACAAACAAAGCTGCAGCAAACATCCATGAACATCTACTCTTAATACAGTGCTTTATATTTCCGTTGGATAAAGTCCCAGGAGTAGGTTGCTAAGTTGGAAGGAGAGCATATAATAGCTCACAGCAGATACACTTGTCTTTTCAAATGAAGGATCTCTGGAACAAAAGAACTACACTATCTTTATTTATTTTATTTTATTTATTTATTTATTTTGGAGGGGGAGTTTGCATATACAAGCAACAAACTAAATTGAAAACACAATTTAAAATAATATGTACAAAACGTATTCAGATTACTGAATATCAGTAAGAAATATCAGTAATCTGCCCTGGCCAGTTTTGCTCAGTGGTTAGAGTGTCAACCTGTGGAATGAAGGGTCTCGGGTTCAATTCTGGGCAAGGGCATGTACCTAGTTGCGGTTTGATCCCTGGCCCTCGTTGGGGTTGTGCAGGAGGCAACAAATCTGAGTGTCTCTCTGACATCGATGTTTCTCTCTCTCTCCTTCTCTCTTTCCCTTCCACTCTATCTGAAAATCAACAGAAAAATATCCTCAGGTGAGGATTTAAAGACAAAAAAGAGCCGTGTTGTTAATGTCCCATGCTTACCTTGTAAATAAGCACACAATAATCAAACCTCTCAATAACCTATCTTGTTCTATAGTTTTTATGCTGGCAATTTTTAAAAAACCACTTGCATGTATAGATTATTCTTCCCTACCTGTCCAGCATGACTCATTAAAAAAATTAAGGAAGTGGGCAACTGGATATTTCTAATACATACATGTTTACCAGAATGCCCACAAAAAACTGGCCTCTTCATCTTACTTTAATTAAATGTTGCCTTGATGTTTAAAAAACACTGACAGAGACTCTGGTATGTGCCAGACCTGGTGCCAAGCCCAGCAGAGAAGCACTGTCCTAACTGTTTTCTAATTGCACTCTCACATACTCTGGTTTCTCTTCAGATCCTACAAGTCTTTTGCCTTTTACTAATTACACCCTCACATAATCAGTTTTGAGGCCAGAATCATCCCACCCATTTTATAGATGAGTAACTGAGGCTGAGGCTCAATGACTTGCTCAAACTTAGAGATGCAATCCTGATATCTTATAGAATAAAAGACCAAAAAAAAAAATCAACAATCACAAAAATTATATTTAATATGCTACTTAAATATTAAATATTTAATGATTATGATTGAAAAAATGTATTTACCATTGTTTAACTGTTAGAGACTTCAGAATTTTTGCATTAGTCTCTCCTTTGAACTATTCATTCTATTCACTGTCATTGCAATTTAAAAAGAAAGGTTTACCTTAAGGTTCACCAATGTGTTTTTTAATAAGAAACTAGAATCTTGCCAAAGAACCACAGACTCAAGGAATGAGTGACTATGAGTACAGGTCATGGCATCGAGATCTCTCTGCCACCTACATGGAGTCAGACTTCAAGCTGGTTTTGCAAGTGGCCAATCTCTTAGTTTCATGAACTTTGGTAATAATAATAGAGTCATTAGCCAAGAATACCAGGAGGAAATGAAATGATCACAGGATACTCAAAAACAATGAGTACATGAAAAACACTCCCTTTGGCTTGCTGAAAGTATGAAAAAGAGTCTTTATAGGACCTGTTCATGTTTAAATATATATTAAAATAGATAAAATATACCTTCAAGGTTCAGACAAGTGAAGGAAGCCTCAAAATCTCAGGCTCAAGGGGAGAACACTATACTATGTTTAATAAAATTGTCCTTTCAAATACATTTCTTGTCCCTTGATTTAATTTTGTATCAAATATAGAAGCAAAATTTATACTGAAGCCAAAATATTTGCCCATTGAGTTTGATATAGCAGATTTTGGCACATAATGGTCATCCAACGCTTGGAATATGAGGATATCCTTCCACTGTATTCCTCCGTGGATCTGAAGTAACCTTAAGCTTAAGTGGGCACTGCTACTCAACTACTAAGTTTCAAAGGCCAATAAAATTTCTGAGTGATAAATAAAACGAAGTATATCCATACAACAGAATCCCATTTGGCAATAAACAGGAATGAAGTACTGATACATGTCAAAACATGGATGAACCTTGAAAACATATGCTAAGTGAAAGAAGCCAGTCACAAAGAATCACATGTAGTATGATTCTCTTTATATTAAATGTCCAGAATAAGAAATCCATAGAGACAGAAAAATGATTAATCAGTGGTTGTCTAGGGATAGGGGTGTCAGGGGGAAATAAAGAATGACTGCTAATGGATACTGGCTTTCTTTTTTTTACTAATTTGAGAGAGAGAGAGAGAGAGAGAGACATCGATTTGTTGTTCCACTTATTTACACATTCATTGGTTGCTTCTTGTTTGTGCTCTGACCAGGGATTAAACCCGAAACCTTGGCAAATCGGGAGGACAGTCTAACCAACTGACCTACCTGGCCAGGACAGGGTTTCTTTTAGGAGTGATGAAAATTTTCTAAAATTGATTGTGATGATGGTTGTACAATTCTGTGAATTTACTAAAAATCACTGAATGCACACTTTAAGTGGGTGAATCATATGAATGTGAATTATATCTCAATAAAGATATTACTTTAAAAATTTCTACAGTCTTCAAGTGATAATTTTTAAGTTTTTCATAAAAACCTTAGTTCAGCTCTCTTTAAGTTAGTTACAGTAAACTATTAAGTTCCTTTCTTTTAACTCTTAAGCCCCCTTTTTTTTAGAAATACATACAGGAGTATTTAATGGCTGAAATTATACCTGGGGTTTGCCTTAAAGTAATCCAGTGGGGGTTAAGAAGGGGGAAAGAATATGCGTATAAAGAGGCCATGTGTGGGTAGCTACCAAAGCTGGGTGAGTTGTAAATGAAGTTCATTATACTAGTCCTTCTATATTTGTTGAGATTTTAACATTTTATAATAAAAGATTAAAATGGGAGGGTTTTTTTTAAACTTCCTGGTCACCGCTCCGCTGTCCCTCTATTCTGTTTATGTTTTCTTTTTTTAAATATGCACATATTGAAATATTTACAGATGAAATCATGTGATGTCTGAGATTTGCTTCAAAATAACATAGGAAGTTAATCTGACAAATGGACTAGGAAGCATGATGGAGAGAATTACTCCCCTGCTTGGAACACCCCTCCTCCTGGAGTTATCAGAACACACAGCAGCAGAGCCAGGAAGAGATATGGGCGAAACTGTTGTTGGATCTAGGTGAAGATATATGACGGTTCATTGTAAAGTGTTTGAATAAATGTAAACAATTTTCATAATGAGAAATTTAAAAAAAAACACCACCTCTCTCACGTACAAAAATTCAAATGGTATGCTACTGGTGAGACTTTTTTCTTAAAACATTTAGAGAGTCATGATGCCTAATGCCATCCTCAAATCCTACTGAGTTGTTCCAGAGATGCAGTATCTGTAGGTTCTGTTGTCACTTCACAAACTCTGAAGTCAACCTCAGAAACAGGCCACAAAAAAAATAAGAATAATGGACAGTTGCAAGTTTGCATATAGAGCTGGGGGCAGGGTATGAAAAACATCCCTATAGAAGAAAAGTTAGTTCCAAAACACTGATTCTTTCCCTGATCTGGTTTTCTGGGTCATGGAGACAAGGCCACACCCAGCCAGCAAGCCCTGGTGAAGAGCCTTCATCTTCTGGATGATGGCTTTTTTTTTTTAAATATGTTTTTACTGATTTTTTTAGAGAGAGAGGAAAGATGAGAGAGATAGAAACAACCACGTGAGAGCGAAACATCAATCGGCTGCCTCCCGCACGCCCCCCACTGGGGATTGAGCCCATAACCCAGTCATGTGCCCTGACCAGAAATCAAACCGGGACCTCTCAGTGCATGGGACAAGCTCAATCCACTGAACTAGGCTTTTTTCTTTTTCTTTTTCCCAATACCTCATCAACTCCAACTATGGCTTGATTGACATCTAAGTGCATTTACCTCTGAAATAATTCACAATAGCACACCTGATTTCAGGTTTTGATTTTAGAAGGGAAAAAACAGTTTTCAATAACCCTAAACTAGCTAAGTGATTATGATTTTACCAAGAGCAAATCCCTAAAAATGTATGCAAGTTTCACTTCTGGCCCATGGTACTTAGAAAAATGAAATGCACCCACCATTTGGCTGAATTTAGTCTGACAAGTGAACCAAAAAGCATAATGGATCTAATCCCTACTCAGTGAGAAACACCCTTCCTCCTGGAGTTGTAAAGAACACTCAGGGAGGCCAGCAGGAAAGCCCAAGAGCAGCGCAAAGAGCATGGGATTCTATTTACCTGATGCACAGACTGTGAACTCCAGTTACCACAGCATGGGTTGTACCACAGTAAGATCACCCAGCACCAAAGTATTTCAAAGGAGAGCAAACTGGCATCAGTTTAAGTATAAAATGTCAGGCCAGGCTCCAGGTACGTAAGGTTCTTAATGTTCTTTTCAAACAATTACTTTGGGCTTAATGAGTTCTCCCTATATTCTCAGAATTTGGTCTTGAATCTGGGTAAGTGTGGACCTGCAAAAGGACAATTTTTATGCATTCAGAACATATATTCATTACAGATCTTAGTCAAAATTATAGGCACTGCCAGATTTTAGATTTAGTTAGTTCATAAAAAGGTCATTTACTTTCAAATACTCATCTTCCACAGTCTTTCCACGAAGTCCTCCTTCCAAGTCTCTCAACCCCAGGTAAACCTCAAGAGTTTGGATGCCTTGAAAGCAGTGAAATTGCTATGAGTCAGGGAAGAGTAGCCACCCCAGTGTCCACAGACACTCGAGACTGGACACCTTTGTCTCAGATCAGCCTTTCCCACTGCAGGAAGCAGGGCCAGGTCCCTGAGGGGGGCAGACATCTGCAGCTCCTGTCCCAGTTTCTGGGGCTTTGGCAAGCTCATGCATAATGATGGTTCGGGTTGTGGAGAATTAAATTCTGCCCAGCAGCCTGTTTGGCTCCAGGAACCCAGAAGGGGCTTAGGACCCTCCTTTAATGACCAGGTACAAGCACGAGTTTATACACACCCTGTCATTACTTTTGCACTCATCCCCGGACACATTTCACATTTATCTGTGTCTTACAGGGGAACAAAATAAGTGACGTGCCTCCGTCAAGCTCTCACTTCATCCATCCTACAAACACACCTACTATGTGCCAGGCGCTGTTGATACATCAGTGAACAAAATATCAAACTCCCTGCCCTCCTCGCACTGAGGTTGTCAGCGAAGTAAACACTCAGCGGCCACAGAAGTTTAATCATCCTCCAACTTTCCTGCCACCCACCCCCATCTTTCCAACCGCCCAAAGAGTTGGAAATCTGTTTTTATTCTATTAGTTGAACAGGGACAACAAAATCCTGTAGCCTTCGAGGATCAGACACTGGTCAGGTACAACCCAATTCATCCCTGAACTCTACTATCTCGGAGCCTTTTTTTCCAAAAACTTCAACTCGCCTAAGGGGTTGTGCTCCCCACCTAGAGCCTGGGAATCCAATCGTAGGACCGTGGAGGGGACGGGCCAGAGTCCCCCCGCAACCCTGGACGGGCCCTGCTGTGGCGAGCAGGGCATGCAAGGCACTCACCGAGGAGCCAGCCCAGAACGGGCACGAGTTCTTCACCTGTGGGGAGCTGCTCAGCGATAGCGCCCCGAAGCTGAGCGCCACCATGCAGCAACCCAGGATCAGCTGCAGCAGCCCGAGCGACAACAGCGGACGACCTGGCAGCAGCGCGGAGCTCGGGGCGGCGGCGGCAGCGACGGTGGCCCGGCGGGAGGAGAGCGCGGGCGGCACGGCCAGCACCCCGGCCGAGGTGGCCGAGCAGCGAGGCCGCACCGGGGGCTGCAGCGCGGCCCGGGGCCAGCGCGGCCGCAACGGGGGCAGCGGTGGCTCCTGGGCAGCGGTGGCTGCGGCGCCCGGGCCCCCGGCCTGCGGCCCGCCCGAGAGCCCAGCCACCGGGCAGCAGGAGCCCGGGAGCACCACGGGCAGGGACATGGACGGGCGGGCGGGGAAGGGAGCGGCCAGTGGCTGCAGGGAGGGACGCGGAACGGAGCCGCGGGCGCCGCGCACTGGGCACCGCGGGCGGGCGCCGGGGCCAAGAGGGAGGGAAGGAAATGCGCACAGCCCAACCACTTGCTGCTGCCGCTGTCGCCTCCGCCGCCTCCGCTGCCCCCTCCGCTGACCCGGCCCCCGCCGGCCGCACCCACCTGCCACCCCGCGGGTCCGCCTCTGGCCGGCCCCTGGCGCACCCTCACTCTCACCCACACACCCCCAAGCGCGCCCTGCACTGGGGCCGCGGGGCTGCTGCAGCCTTTGGGTCACAAGAGAACGGGTGCCAGCTCCCTGGGGTCCAGGAAAGATGCCCAGCTCCATTTAAAAAAAAAAAAAAAAGGTCCCTCAGGCTAAGAAGCACCCCAATGCCAGCATGCATTGGAGCTAGCAGCCCACAGCCTAAGTCTTGTTCCCCACGCGCCAGGCTGGGACGGGACAGCAGCACAGGAGAAGCGCAGCGGACCCTCGCCCTTTTCTGGTTCAGCCAAGCGAATGACCCTGACAACCTTTAATGCGGCGGGAGTCCAGCTTTTAACTTTTCCCCACCAGGAGGGGTGGCCGGAGGAGGGGCTATAGGTGACTCGGTGGGAAAAGTCGAAGCCGCAGGGCTTCCGGGAAGGACCAGCAGAGCAGGTCACCGCTAGCATGGCTTCCAGGTACTGACTGCTGGGCCCTGGCGCCGGGAAGGGGGGGATGCGGGGTATGGGCCTGGGTGCTTTCCCAGCAGAGGGTAGGAGCCAGTGTGAGCATGAGGCTACCTTGGAAGAATCCAGAAGAAAGAACTGGGGGCCGCCCAGAGCACATGGCTACCCACTGTTCCCCTCGGTGTCCACCTCACCTGGACTCATGAGCTCTATTAGGTAGGTATCACCTGGTAGAACACAGAATCCCAATCTTCCAAAACACTATCCTAATAAATTCTTAACTTGTTTTTGGTAATTTATAAAATATATTTAGAGCTATTTAAAAAAAAACACACAAACAAAAACAAAAACGATGATTCGACTTTGCAAAATGGTTTTCTTTAATAGTATATACCCTTCCCTTGGAAGGATTCTTATGTATTGAAGTGTCCCTATAGGTAAAATGTAAATCTATTGTCATAGGTTTTTTTCCAGGTTAAGAACCAGAGAGCACTGTCACTTTGTAATAAGTCATTCTCAGCATTAGCTCATTTTATCAGGGGTTTTTAATATCTTCCTGCCCCATAAACCAAGGAAAATGTGTATCTGTTTTTATGCTGTTTGCAAAGGCTATATTTATTTTGGGCATTACTTACTTCAACCCACAATGTGATGCACTGCCAATGTGCATGTGTGTTTACATACACACTTTTTTAATTATTAAAGCACCTATGCCCTGGCTGGTTTGGCTCAGCGGTTAGAGCGTCGGCCTGCGGTCCGGAGAGACCCAGGTTCGGTTCCCGCTAAGGCTGCCTACCTCGGTTGCAGTTTGTCCCTGGCCCTGGATGTGTCGTGCGGGTGGCAACCACTCAATGTGTCCCTTTCATGTCGATGTTTCTCTCTCTTCCTCTCTCTCCTTCCGACTCTACCTGAACAAAAAATGGAAAAATGTCCTTGGGTGAGGATTTTTTTTTAAAAAAGCACCTATGACTAAGAGTCCCTAGGATTTCTTTTACAACTCCTCTTAGAAATAAATTTCAAATCCTGAAGAAAAGGGTATCTGTCTTTTAAAATAAATGTTTGAAAGTATGTAGTTTCATGCACTTTAAAAACATCTTACAGTCCATGTTCTTACATTGCAGGTGATGATTAAATAAAAACTTCTTGTATGCTGAGTTTATACCTTGTATTTTATACACAAGCTTCAACATATATAATTTTTAAGATTCTACTACATTGTAAAATATAAAAAGTCTGATTGAGTCTTGAGAAATTCTGTCAGCCTAATGAACTTATTCCACTGTTCAATCCATGATACCTGAAATGTACTATTGAAAGTGTATTCTTGCCCTGGCAGGTTTTGGCTCAGCAGTTGGGGCGTAGGCCTACAGACCGGAGAGTCCCGGGTTCAGTTCCCGCTAAGGGCATGGACCTCTGTTGAAGTTTGTCCCTGGCCCCAGTTGGGGGTCGTGTGGTGGCAACCACTAGATGTGTCTCTCTCATGTAGATCTGTCTCTCCCTTTCTTCCTCCCTCTCTCCCTCCTGCTCTATCTGAAGATAAATGCAAAAATGTCCTCGGGTGAGGATAAAAAAATAAAAATAAAAAATAAAAGTGTATTCTTTGTGTCTAGGAATGTTGGTGCTAGAAGCCAGATAGCCTCCTTCCCTTTGGGTAGCTAATGACTAGAAAGAGGAGAGTTCCAGGGGAGCTGATAACCATCTGTTTCTTGCTGCAGGTACTAGTTACATGGGTGAGGTTCACTTTGAGAAAATTCATGGAGTTACACATTGTGCACACCTCTGTATCTTATAAACACTTTAAAGTATTCCTAAGTACCTTACCCTTACATTTTTTAAAGTCTGTTTCTCTATATAGAAATGGATGATAGCAGAGGTCATTAAAATTCATAGATAGTTTTATCCAATAGCTTTACTTATTTTTTCAGACTACTAAACCTTTTCCAAAGCTACTTATTAAGAGTTGTTGTACCCTGGCCGGTTTGGCTCAGCGGTTAGAGTGTTGGCCCATGGACCATTGAGTCAAATTTGGTTCTGGTCAAGCACGTACCTCGGTTGCGGGTGGGTCTCCAGCCCTGGTGGGGTCCTGCAGGAGGCAACCAGTCGATGTGTCTTTCTCACATCAATGTTTCTCCCCTCCCCTGCCCCCCCCCACTCTATATAAAGATAAATGGGGGAAAAAAGTATCCTCAGATGAGGATTAAAAAAAAAAAAGAGTTGTTGCAGTGTAGTTTTCTTTTGTTGTCATTGTTGTTATTGGCCACATATAAGCTCTGAGTTTCTTTTTCTACTCATCTTAAATACAAATCCATATAACATTGTCCCAACCTTTAAGTTTATTTCAAATAACACTCGGGCTATGGAGTTTTAGATTTTGTAACCCAAGTCTGATTCTTTGCATGCCCCAAACACTTGCTCACAGTAAGTCCTTAGTTACACCTAATGAAGCTGAGCTGTATGAAACTAACACTTACGGGATGAGTCAGAGCCACTGATTTCAGATCGGCTTAAAAACATAAAGTGAGGACTTCAGAAAACAGTCTAGCAGTTCCTTAAAAAGTTAAACGTGGAGTTCTCATTTAACCCAGTAATTTCACTCCTATACCCAAGAGAAATGAAAACAATTATCCACACAAACACTTGTACACAAATGGCATTACTCACAAAGCCAAAAGGTAGAAGCAACCCAAGAGTAAATGAATGGTAGTCCATGCAGTTAAATATTTGGGGTTATAAAAAGGAATGAAGTCCTAACACATGCTACAACATGAACAAACCTTGTAAACATTATGCTAATGCTAAGCGAAATAAGTCAGAACAGGACAAGGACCATATGATTTCACTCGTATGTGGGATATAAAACAGAAAGCAACTAACAAACAAACAAACTCATAGACAGACACAACAGTATGGTGGTGACCAGGGTGGGAGGGAGTTGAGGGGATGATGAAGAGGGTCAAGGGTGTCAAACATATGGTGACAGAAAGAGACTAGACTTTGGGTGGTAAGCACACTATGCAATATATAGATGATGTGTTACAGCATTGTACACTTGAAACTTGTATAATGTTATTAACCAATGCCACCCCAATAAATTTAATTTAAAAAGAAAACATTATGCTAAGTAAAAGAAGCCAGTCACAAAAGATCACATATTATATGATTCCATTTATATGAAACCTCCAGAACAGACAAATCAAGAGACAGCAAGTATAGCAATGATTGCTTATGGTTGGGGGATGGGGAGACTAAATGGGGAAAGGGTGATTGCTAAAGGGTACATGGTTGCTTTTTGAAGTGATAAAATGTTCTAAAATTTACTGTAGTGATGATTGCATAACTCTAAATATATTAAAAAGTACTGACCTGTACACTTTAAGTGGGTGAATCGTATCTCAATAAAGATACACGCGAACTATGTAAAATAGTCCTTAAAATAAGGTGACAAAGAACATGCGGAAGAACTGACCCAGACATTAACGTAGGTGACAGTCCCAGGAAACAATAGTTGTAGTGTATTTTTTCGTGGGATCCAGCTGCCAACGTTCCTCAAGATCAAAGCCTAATTCCCAGGAGACATTTCTACCAGCTCTCCCTTTCCCTGTGCTTCATGTCCCCTCTTCCCAAACGAAGCCTGTACTGCCCAGGAGATTAGGTTCCTTTGCTCAGGTTCCACTGGACACCTTCAAACAAGCTCCCTGGTCCCTGCCACCCTTTCTCAGAAGACCCGACCTGTCTGTAATTGCTCCCTGGTCCCTGCCACCCTTTCTCAGAAGACCCGACCTGTCTGTAATTGCAGGAGGTTATTCCCTGTGAGAGAGGGAGCTGCAGCTGAAACACCTCAAAACGTGTACCCTGACACCCTGCCTCCAGTTCTCACATTTTAGAAAGGGAAGAGTTTCTCTGAGGAAGGCACCGTGGACTCTGGAAGTCCTCATTTCATATGGTGGCATTGGAGCAGCTTCTCAAAGTGTGGCTCCCAGACCTCAGACCCATTAGGGGAGCATGTCAAAATGCAGGCCCACTGGCCTCCCCGCACCCATTCCCACACTCTACCTAAGAAGCCTTGGAAAGTCAGAACAGAACAAGAATTTTTTGTGGGTTTTTTTTTTATCATCCTCACCCGAGGACATTTTTCCATTCTTTGTTCAGGTAGAGTGGGAGGGAGAGAGAGAAACATCGATGTGAAAGGGACACATCGCACAACCAACCAGGGCCAGGGACAAACTGCAACCGAGGTACTTGCCCTCAGCGGGAACCGAACCCGGTCTCTCCGGACCGCAGGCCGATGCTCTAACCGCT